GGTAATAGGAACTGAGAAAGAAGTATTCTGTCAATATTACTTATCTTGTTGTAATTGATCTCTTCTTATCTGTACCTATGTAAATCAGAAATCTTTTTTCTTCATCTAACTCCTCCTATGCGATCTTGCCTTATCTTGTTGCTATAACTCTATCATTTTTCAAAATTCATTAACTATTTTACAAATCCTTTTTCATTAATTCTTTTTTAAGTAGTTTTCAAGAGTAGGAGGACAATAATTAAAGTAAAAGGAAGTTTCAGAGCCATAAAAACAGATATGAATATTGGTTAAAACAGTAACAGCATGATACTAAATGCCAATAGGTGAAGAATAAATACGTTACGTAGAAGAAAAGTCTAGTGCACTTCAAAGGCATACAATATCAGCAAAACCCCATTCAACTGTCTCCCTGCATGATGACATTCTTCTATTAAATTTCTTTTCCTGCTTGCTTAATTGAAAACTATCAAAGAGTGAAAGTAAACCTGTAGATACAAGATAAGCTGGATTTCTATAAAGATAAAAATATGGTGCAAACTTTTGACATCTCAAAAGAAGTTTACTATCTGACAATAATGTATTATCATTCCTTATTTCTTCCAATAGTCCTCATATATGATAAATAATACCATCCAGTGCCCTTACAGCGGAGTATTTCACAGCATGCATATTCTTATAGCTATTATATCACTCCTTCTACTACTTGGTTAGACGGCAAATCTCTCGAATGGTGCAGTCAATAAATCCTCAGCATGCCTTTAAGAGTGCTCCTTTAGCATGAATTTTAGAGGCAAAGAGGTTTAATTTTGTAGTTGAAAGGTGTTCAGAAGCAAGCCATAAGTTGAAATCATGTAACAAAAAGTCCCAATTCTGATAAATAAATGACAGAATCCAATTTACAGCCTCTGAAATCGTACCAGGACTGTAGGGAAAAAAGATAGCAAGAGTTTCTAGACAAGTTGGCCATGCTAAGCAGCAAAGGAGTAAAAAAAAAGATTCTTCACCAGACAGGCATGCCCCCAAGGGTATAGAAAATATGGGAGAAAGTCAAGTAATCTGGAGGTACGCTTAATGTCCTGTAGTGTAAACTGAGTAAGATGGTAAACATCATTGTCAGTTAGAGATTTTAAAGTATGCTGGCGATAAAACTGTCTAGCTGGTAGTTCCCAGCTGTAGCACTCGATAAGGTAAAGGAAGACCACTTCAGGAGTACACACTTCCAAATATTCTCTTATTTCTTGATTGATCATCGATAGGAGATGCTGAACTGATTCCAAGTTCGCCATCCTGTCTGTCCGGTATGGTTTCAGGAGGGATGATTTCAGACTTGGATGCTGGAGAAATTTCAACTTATGTGATGTTACTCCTATGATGATCCTTTCCTTCTCAGACCACCGCTCCTCATAAGTCTCTTACTGCCTAACCCCTTTGATTAACTACATGGAGTATAGTCATAGGTCTGTGCAAACTTAAAAACTTTCTGTTCGCAACCGAATCGGGACTCCAGAAAAGCTCTAATACCGGCACGGGCCACCACCGTGGTGGTGAGTTCTTGCTATTATACGTATCATACTCCCAGTGGAATAGCACGCACACACACAACCGGGGTGCCGCAGAACGCCCCCTCTGGTGGGTGGGATTAATTAATGTTAGAAGGGGTGAAAGGGCGATTTGTGGATTGCCGGGTTGTCCGATGGGCCCCAGCTGTTGTGATGGGGTACGATATCGTATTCTTGGGTTGTGATTTTTTTATCATACGGATTCAACCGGTTGTGGAATCTTGTATGATATGATGCGTAAATAGCACCGCTATAAATTTAAGAACCCCGAACATCCAGAACCCCTACGCCGACACACTCTTTGCGTGAATGTATCATAACTTGGAAGAATTCCCTCCATCGCCCGCTCCGCGCAAGTGATCTCACTTAAACAAGCCACGTTGAGACTTTTTGATTTTCTGGGCCTACAAGTATGATACTCGAGTACCAGCGGCCCTCATGACACAATCACTGACCAATTTATCATAATATTATTATCATCGTCGTCATGCTCCGAACAAAACCCCATCACAACAAGTTGCACTTACCCTATTAATTTATACCTTCACTTCCCGCGCACCAAAACAAATCTCCGCACCAAAAGGAATTCAATCGATCCCAACATCAAATTTCTCGCCATGTCGAACGAAGCATTTCTAAATTGGGTTGCTATTGCATACCGCCAAACTTTGGTCTTTCCCTTGGATCTGAGTGGCATGCAATAGCAATTCTCTTTTAAAGACCCTCCGACATTACAAGTACAGTACAGTACATCACAGTGCACCTTCAACGGAAAAACAAAAAAAAAAAAAAAAACCAACGATACCGCCATAATATAAACAAAAAAAACACTCACACACCAAGCCAACCAGAACGACACAAAGAAGGACCAGTCAAAACGATACACCCACCACCATTGCTCAAAATATTCCTGATGCTCGCAAGCCCAAAGCAAAGAAAAAAGCAAAGAAAACCCAAGAATCTCCCCCTCTTCATTCCTCCTCCGCAATTCATTTTCATCTTTTTATACGATAGCTGGCAAAATCGATGGGTTAGATAGTCCAGGTTCACTTCACAGCTGTTGGTTATTACCCTACAAGGCAAAAGAAACAAACACATAAAACTCCGGGTATGCTAATAAGGTAGACCACATCCGATGGTCTACCTTATAAAAAAAGAAATGAGGAATCGGCAAAATATACATGTTCCACCTAGACCCAGGCTGATTGCTCTCATCCCGTCGTGAACGAATGAGTAAATGGAAAACAAGTGGAGGAGTAAAGGTTTGACTGGAGATAATTTCGCTTGAAACAATTTTTTGTGGTTGATAGGTACTTGGCTGCTGTTATTGTATAAGACCCGCGACACGCATGCAAGAGGGCAGGAAAGGGAAAAAAAGGAAAAAAAAAGCGAGAAGAACGAGGGTGAAAGAGAGTGACGAGGTGAAAAGACGGCTGTTTCTTGTGTGTGAATTAAAACTGATCCGTAAACTCTGAAATTGTCGGTAATGATCGAAACTCGATGATTTGTTGCTAGTCGTTTAAACGGGCTCCCTCCCCCAAATTCATCCGTTCACCTACAGCTTAGGTCACCTTTCCATCCCTCTCTTCTCTCCTCTCCCTCCCCACTCCCCCTCGCCCTTAATCCCAGTCTACCGGATAGTCATCTGCTTCGCCATCTTGTTCCCCTTCCCAGTAATACTCGACCCCTCACGAGCGCTGCCCGAAGAGCCAGGGCGCTTCTCAAACAACTTCCAGAACTTGAGATTCTCGTCACTAGCGCAGGTCGCCAAGGTCTGGCCGTCAGGGCTGAGGGCAGAGTGTAGGATTCTTGTCTCGTGGGCCGGAATCTCTACATTACGGACAAGGTTTGGGTAGCTCCAGATGTTGAGTTGGTTGTCGGGCATTCCGTGGCAGGAGACTAGTTCGCGGTAACTATAATAATAATGATGGTTAACTTAGCTATTGCGCAGTAGAGAAAAATAGATGACTAAGTTAGTTAACATGGAGGAAGCCCTTACTTGGTACTCCACTTCAAACTGGTAACCTGGCTACCGGTATCGATCGAGTTGACTCTAGCGCCAGTAGTCGAATTCCAGAAGTGGATGCAACGGTCGTAGTTACCGCCTCCGGTAGCAAGAAGGTTGAGTTGCCAGGGGCACCAAGCCAGGGCTTTAACGGCAGCCTTGTGGTTGGTCTTGGTCCACTTGGGTGTCTGAATGGACCTGGCATCCCAGATATTGACAAGGTTGTCGTTACCACCGCTGGCGAGTTGTGCGCCATCGGACCTCCACTCCAAACCGCAGACCTCAGAGGTGTGCGAGAGGAGCTCGGCAGTCTTGTGCTCCGCGATGCGGACATCATGGTTAAAGATGTTGCCGGAGCGGGAGCCGGTGGAAAGGATAGCCTTGTTCCAGCTCATGACCCCCACGCGGGTGTGGTGGCCGCCCATGGTGCGGAGCTTAGCCTGGTCTTCCACGTCCCAGATCTGAACGTCGCCGGAGCCGAGCCCGAGAGCGATGTAGGCTCCGTCGCCGGACCACTTGACGGATGTAACGTAGGTGTCGGGCGAGGTTTCGCACAGGGCATTGACATTTCCAGTGTCAGCATTCCAGACGTATACATGACGCTCGAGGCCGATGGCAACCTGGTTGCTCGAAGACCAATCAAGGAGGTTGAGGTAATAGTCGTCAACAAGGCCAGGAGCGTCAAGAACACGCTCTGGCGCAGTCAGGATACGGCGGCGGAATTGAGTGGCCGAGGCGACTGGCTTGAGCGGGCGGTTGTATTGCGATCTTAGGTCAATTGGCTTGGACGACTCTGGTGCTGAAGGCTTGAATGCCAATATGCGAGTAGTAAGGTTAACACCACAAGCAGCGGCAATCGAAGACTCATACTCGCGAGAATCGGTATTGGGACGCTGGTAAAGCTCGCTGGTGTCATCAGAGGCAGAATTGGTCGAATCGGTATCATCGCTGCCAAACACACCGCCGCTCAAAACCGAGTTGGATCGGCCGTGACTAGTGCCTGGACGGGAAGAGTGCTCAATCTTCGAGGAAGTAGTCGGAGAAGATGCTCCGCGGGTTGGAATGAAACGATCGCCGTTAATCCGGATAGTGGTCTTTCCAGTCCCAGATCTAGTCTTCCTCTTGATGGGGGTCTGACCCGCAGTGGTACCAGTTCCGGTCAACGCCCAATCACTAACACCAAGATCAAGGCGAAGCGGTGAAGCAGCCGATCTAGCGATATTCGACTTCGGTGAAGGAGCGACCCTCGACGAACGAGACTTTGACGAACCCGAAACATTCAACGAAGCAAACGCAGCGGTCAACGAGCTGCTGGTCCGAGAAGGTGCATCTCCGAAAAGATTGGCCTTCCGCGGGGGATCGGCGTGCCATGAGGGATCGTGATGACGACGACGAGCAGGAGGAGTGAAGGGTGAGGCGTTATTTGGGCTATTCCTCCCCCGAGGGGAGGGAGTAAGCGGCATACGACCACCTGCGGCCCTGGTGGAGAAAATGTTGGAGTGAGACTTCACTGGTGTCTGAACAGCTGTGGTGGCCATTTCGAAGCAGAAGAATGTCTGAACGGACTTATATATAAAGAACGTGCAGTTGCTGATGAATCGTTGTATCTTGAACAGGATCTCAACCAAATGATTCCTGAACGTTTGAAAAGAACAGATGAAGCAGCAAGATTAACTGACTAGCAGCGATTGTGTGATGAGAGCAGGTAGAGGATTCTTGTGTGAGGAGAAGTGATGCAGAAGATGGAGATGGTTGAAAGAAATTCGTGTGGAGAGAGGGGGTGGCTTTTGTAGGTTGAAAGTGCCAAGACGTAAACATCAAAGTGGAGCACTGGTCGTCAAGGCAACGCGAAATTTCGCCGACACCAGTTCTAAACTTGAAAGCGGTTGCAACCAACCTCACCAAAACTCCCACAGTTTTTATTCGGCCTCTGCACCACAGAACAAAAGCGGCTATGTTCTTTCCGGCGATTCTTGCTTCGCTAGCCAACCAGGGCCCGAATATCATTACAGTATGCTTACTTTGAGCGCTCACTCTTCGATGCCCTTCGCAGCGTCATTCCTCCGAAAAAAGTTACTGTATTATACATCAACCACAAAAAAAATACTCACATGTCCTCCCCCTCCACCGAAAGACCAGCCCCGCAAAACTCCAGTGCACCAGTGGGCAAAAGCGCGTATGACCTCCCTTCCCTTCCCTTCCCTCACCATAGCAACGCGCTTGTACCGGTATTCTTTTTTCCAAAAGAAAGAAAAAAATGTTTTTACCATAGCAGAGTGATCATGAACAATACTGCGGCTGTGGGTGGATGTTTCAGACGTCCCCAAGCTCTCAGACCGCCCGCCCCTTCCCTTCCCTTCCCTTCCTCCTCTCTAACCTACGGCTACGGTATGATATCTCTCTTTCGTTGCGTGCCGCTTCGCTAAGCTACAACTCATGAAGATCTCAAAGCCAAGTTAGTTAGCTAGGTACTGTGTAGTATGATAGCAGCCAACTGATACGAACTGAATTGGACTGGTTGGCTTTACGGTAGCACCGTAGAATACTGTAGGTAGCAAGGGAGGGAGCTACGTGATATGATACCATCTCGGATTGTGATATCCTCCATTTCTCTGATTACGATACATTTCCCTTCTTGAGAAATGAATGCCAACTTACAGTGATAATGTGATACAGTGCGGTAGGTAAAGCCATCGCTAGATCGACGTCCTCCTTCGGAACATCCCAGGTTCCGGTGTGATACAGTACAGTACTCTCTCGGCGACCAACCCCGTGAGCTCATTGTGAAGACCGAGGAGCCCTTTGTAACTAGCGCGAGCAATTCCTTTTTATTCGTTTAAATTATATCTTTCCCAATTGCTGGTAAATATTCTCCAATCAGGTCCCTGCCAGAGCAAGAATACTAAAACATAAAGCGTAAAGGATGAGGGAAGCAGGATGAATCGAACAAAGTGGAATAGGGCACTAGAGTCAGAAGAAAAAGAAAAAACCCGAAGAGAAACGAAAAATGGAAAATGGAAAATGGGAAGGAAAAAAAAAAACGCCCCCAGTTACAAGATCATAACTTAAAAAAAGATGAAGCGGGAAATGGTTGAAAAATAAATAAACAAGTGGCAAAACCTTCAATGACACCCCAGAACCCATTTTTCCCCAGAAATAATATCGCAAGTATGATCAAAAGGATTTTTTTAAAAAGACGTTGGCTTGTCTTTCTTGGCCAACCCCCCTCCCCTTTTCCGCCTCCGAAAGAATAGGACAAAAAAAAAAAGGAAAGCGATATCAAGAAAATCAATGGTACGCCGAGCAACACCAAATCAAGCAAATAAGGAGAGGAAAAAAAGAAAAGAAAGCGGGAGAATTGATTGAATAAACAAAAATGAACCAAAATTCTCCATTGACTGATCCCTTCAGTTACCATCGTTAACAATTAATGCGAGCGGGTCCCAATAGTCCAGCAAAGGTCGACTTTCGGTAGACCACTCCAGTGCACTAGGAAGAATGAAAGGAATCGGAAACCCCGGGTCAGGAGACTGAGGTCGGGTCGTGAAGATCACTATTTCGTTATCGCCCGCTTGATGCTGGAAACTTTTTTATCTTCGACGCCCCAGTCGGGCCTTCGAGCTATCCATATATGCCTAAGGAATGAGCGTTAATGAGTTTCAAAAGGTAATCCATAGAGAACACATACATATCGCTATACGCGTGTATCTGTCGGTTGTTGATGTCTTTCTGCACTGGCCCGAGTAGATTCTTCACATTGTCGGCCGACCATCCTAGAACCCTTGTCATAGGCGCTAATGTATACCCCTCAAGGGCCTCTGAGAGCCCAAGATTGTACCAGCGTCCGCAGTCTTTGAGATATGGATCTGACGGCCAAGGGCTCAATGGAAGCTTTAGCACCACCTCTTGGACGTCGACAAAACCCGCTTCCCTAAGCAATTGGCCAGTTCTTGCTTCGTACCTCAGTGGCTTGCCTGCACGCTCTGTGGCTTCAAGCAAGTATTGCTGCCACTGATACAAAGCATGGGCAGTGGTAAGTGTACCGTCATCACTACGAGCCTGAATATCGATATCTACATATTCAATCCAACCATAACCAGGTTTGAGATGTCTAAAAGTAACATTCATATTAGCTTTGAGGCTACGTATTTTAGATCAGCGCAGGGACGCACTCAAACGCTCGACGGAAGAGCGTAGGCCAGCTAGAGACACTCCCGCAGCCAGCCCGAAGGTGAATTAAGTCAAAAGAGTCCTTCCCTAGTGTCCATTCACTCTCAAAATCGCTGATTTGGAATCGAAGGTTACGTGGAATCCTACATAGCGTTAGATTAGCAAGATAATTCCGCCTGTGATTGAATTCCATATGCCTACCATTTAGGTTGTATTAATGATAAATCGATGCCGATGACCTGTCATAAGTTAAATTTTAGAGATTGGTTCAAGTGTAATTATTAAAAGAATCCTTTCTACCTCTGCATCAAGATATTTACTAATTGATAAATTAGTAACCACTTGATAGTAGGAGCGCGAGGAGGGCTTACTCCGCCATATCAATGGCCCAAATACCGGTTCCGGTACCGAGATCTAGGATTCTGGGTGGGGAATAATTTCTGGTGATTGGGGCACGGTGAAGCTCCTCCTGCCGTGCAACAAGAAACATCTTGTGGTAGATATCAAGGCGGTCTTGCTCTTTCTTTGGAGACATTAGCACCGACTCACAGCCCCCCTGATATTCCATAAACAGAAAAAAAGTCATGCAACAAAACTCGAAGGAAAGGGGGGATTGTACAAACCTCATCGTTTGGATACATGTAGGCACCACCTCGGTAGCCATGAAACCGTCTACCATTCTCAAATTGGTGCGTGTTACTGTCAATTGATATTGATGTGAGCAAAATCTGCGATTCTAATCTGCGATTTTTTGCTCCGACCATTTGAATCACGAGGCAAGGAAGAGGATCTCTTACAGGTTAAAACTCATGATTACTATTATTACTTATTCTTTCCTCAAGTCAAGGATAATTAAGAAACACTCGCTTCGGCGAGTTGGCCTTGGCGTGGAAGGTCAGTGAGGGTCAAGGGGTGGAAAGCTGAGGGTAGTTGAATAGAGAAGTATCGAAGCGAAGACAGGTTGAAGACTACAATTTGTAGATCAACGGAAAGGCGGGGGAGGGAAGTGATACAGGAAATACCGTATGAAGATGGAAAGAGTGAGAGAAGGAGGAGAAGTGGGAGAGGTGAGAGGAGATAGGGAAGGGAGGTAAAGGGACTGGAGGGATCAGGAGTGAGGAAGAGAGTTTTTTTTTTTTTTGACGGGCGGATGTCAAATCGGGTGGGGGGAGAAGGGGGAAAAGAAGAGAGGAAGGGGATACGTAAATATACTTTTATGAGCAAAGAGGGTGGTGAGGAACCCGAACCATACTGCTGGGATCCCCTTTCCCAGACTGTTAATGCTGCTTAGTTAGTGCTGAGTGGATGAGCGAGCGGGTGAGCGTCCAGGGGATGGATGGGGCATCATACCATAACTGAGTGCATCCTCCCCATATCCAATCGACTAGGACCCTTTTGTGGTATGTGTGCGTGGGTCTCCGTGTGTGCATGGGGGTGGGTGTGGTGGGTTCATGACTTATTCGCATGTATAACTGGATGGGCTCCTTGATCACACTGAGCCATCCACCCCACTGCTCCATACCGGTACGTTATGCGGGTTAGGATACCTTTCCTCCTACTGTGCAACTCCTCTGCTCAAAAAGCTCCCCCCGCCTATCCTTGCTCTAACTTATTCCTCGCTTTGGCTCCCTTCAGTTTCCTCCTTCCTCTCATGCGTAACCCTGCGCCAGCACACACCCGTATCCGGTTCATGGGCCTGCTCTTAAACCGCCCCAGTCCATGTCTTCTGGCATCGTAGATACCGGTATTCCCATGATATGCCCGACAACGATACCAGACGATATGGCGTCCCCGCATCCATATCGTGTCGCACAGCATTTGAGTATTATTATGATAGAAATAGTTGAACTGTTGAAGATTGTTGTTTGCCGTAGCGTCGAAGGACACCTGCTATAGTACGGTACAACATAGTGGCTCGCCGCCCGAGGCGCTGGTTTCCAGATCTGCTGCGGTACCTTTACCGTCCCATATGCTGCCTACAGCACGGCAGTCATACAACATCCTACAAAACATTTCCACCATACCGGGAATCCCTCCCTGCCACTTCTTCACCGTCCCATCCCTCCAGCCTCCTCTCCTCCTCCTCTTCCTTCTCCTCCCTCCTTCCCCTCCTCCATCCTCTCCACCCTCTCAATCCTCTCAATCTACAGATGCCCTGTCCGTGTTCTGCTACGGTATTATTCCCCCCGAGACTTTCCTACCTGACAACCTGACAACCTGACCATACCATCCATATTCCTTTTTACCGCGATTGGGCCATGGGCTAGCGTACCATACTCGAGTACCGTAGTTGTGCACAGTACATACCCGACCCAGTATGCCACTTCCCATGTGTACTCGTACATATAGCACAATGCACGCTACTCCTTGGATCCAAGCCCTTACGCCGGGCTCGCTATTCCCCCCCTTTTTTTCCCGCTTATTATTCTAGCATTGAGTGCGAAAGAGGCAAAAATGGGATACGGTAGTGGGAATTATCATGAAGACATGATAATCGCTAATTAAAAAAGCGTTCTGTCGATCTGGGCTGCAGGGTGTGATGCTCAGGCGTAAAGCGACGAAAGAGAAAGCGCAAATTCGGCTGTGGGCAAAAAATAAAGCACTGCAGCCAGGAAGCAAGCTGGCAGTCAGGCACCCTTCCTTTTCCCAGGCGGGGGATCCAAGCCAACCAGCTTTTGCAGCGGACGAGAGAGATGTGCATCCATCTACTTGCGGTGCATGCGTGTCCCGCTGATTGCACCCCGCTCGTCTGGGTGAGGGAGAACCTTCTCACTCCCTTTTTTCTCCTGCTTTTCCCTGCCCTTAATTTTTATTTTTATTTTATTATTACCGGTAATTTTTTTTTATTCCTCTTGGCCTTTTCCCCCTTTCCTTTCTTTTTTCTCCTCGGATATCATGCAGATCCGTTTTCATCTTGCTTTGTTCTGCTCCTATTTCTCAAGTACTCGAGTATCGCTCTTTTCTCGATTCGCTAACTCCGTTCTTGCGGGTTGGGGGCCAGCCTTGGTTTCGGGTCATGAACGGTGTCTGCGTTGGGGTGTGGGACCAGTGCCCCGGGTCAGTTGGATAAAAGAAAATTTCACGCCCAACGTCATGGGCCCCCCTTGTCAAGTGGAGTTGCCGATGAGTGGGAAGAATAGTGGGCTACCGTTGGTTGCAGAGAAGAGCCAGTCATATTGCGAGAAACTATTCGTTGTTGCAAGTGTTCTGTATCCTTCTCTTTCCTCAGGTGATACATAAAGAGTCCAGCATTATCTGCTACTGGTGCCGTACCTTTGCTTAAGTACCGGTGGGTTCTTCAGCACTTACCGGTGTCCTACGGTTCCGGGTACCGCGTTATGGGTCCAGGCCCTTGCTGTACAAGCGAACCGGTTTGACGAAACCAAGACGATATCCGGTCGCTCCCTCGAGAAATACACTAGAAGTTACCCCAAAAATTACTCGAGCGAATATTTTTGGGGCGTCATTTGCCCTTTCGGAATTTCTACACAATCTTCGAATCCCACTGGAGCGCTGTACGGGGGTACTATGCATTGGGTCGAAGAATTTTGGCAATGCATCTTGGTGAAGCTGTTAGTCAATCATTCCGGGCAATCAGCACAGAGCCCTCCGATATGGTATGTCATGCTATCACTCTCGCTAGTCTATCCAAAGAACCTATTTCGCATACCGGTATTGCGTTGGCACGTCGATAATCCCTCTTAAAGCTTTGACCTCTCTCCTGTCCCCTGTCAGACAGCCGTGGTTCGCTTGCGTCTCGATTAAAACAGGGTTGATCACCTGAACAACTGAGAACCGGAGAGAGGATCAAGATCCCAGAGCCACAGTCGCTTCTCATCTATGTTGTGCCCTTGGGCCAAAGCATTTGCCAGTTGTATTTCTCACATTTTGTTTGGATTTACCGCCCCCAGCCCTTCACCCTACCATGATCGTTATTGGTATGATAACGCCTACTCAAGCAATGTCGACTGGGGTGCTTTTTTTTTTCTTCCCCCATCTCTAATGTTGTAGAGGAAAAGCGGAGCAGAACAAATGGGGTCGGGTCGGACAAGGGCCGGACAAGGAACAGAGTTGCTGGTTGATTGAAACGGAAAGTTCGTGAGAGAGAGAAACAAAACCACGGGCAAGTGAAGAGCGGAATCGTGGGTGAGGAACCTACGGTATTGGGATAACTACAACCTACATAGTTTGACTCTTTGCCTAGTCGCTTGCGATCGCAACTTGTTATCGTATCAATGTTATTTTGAAACCAAAGTATGATATCGCAGCAAGCGAGCAAGAAGGCTGGGCAAGGTCTGGGGCTACGGTACGGTAAAGTATCATCATATTAGCCGATTGGTGCACCGGATACCTGACCCCTGGGGCCCTAACGAAATTTTCGTACTAAAGGTTTGCCTAGGTCGGCTCATGATTTGGGTCGAAGACCCCGGCGAAGCAGTCTTTGATCTCGCCCTCAAAAATTCTTCGAAGTATGATACCGGTGCATTCACACCGATTTTGGGTTTTTGACGTTGTTGCGACTAGAGAGTCTGGGTACAAAGAACGAAAGTCAAGTTTAGTATCGCTTTCTCTCCCGCTTGATGTTCTCCTTTTTTCGGAGAGACTAGCGATGCTAACAAGGAGCACTTTATCGAGGGGAAAACAGGTTTATTCAGCAAGAGACAAAACACCCGGTGATACCGACGTTTCTCCCTGGACAAGTAAGCCCTTATCAGGCCTGGCTTTGCCGGATTCAATCCACCTCAGCCTGAAAATCACTACGGTATATACAAATGCCGGTATACAAGCTTGGACTGGAAGAAACCGGTGGGCAGTCTAATATTTTAACTCCACATCTGCAAAAGCCCCTACCGCAAGCCCCATCTACCGGGTATCCCGAGTGACATGCCGGTAGGTTACATTGGATATTCCCGGGATGTGGAGACAATGAATCTTGGACCTAAGATATTTTCATAATGCAGGTTTAGTGCTTGAATACTGCAATAATATTGAAAGTAATACCGGCTAGGAAATTACGAGCGACGAGATTGCTGGTGAGGTTGAGAATACTCGGCACCGACATCGGAGGACGAAGAAGGGAAAGGAAGGTGACCGGAGCCGCTAAAAATTTTGGCCGGGGATATGGGCAAGTGGACCTTCCCAGCATCGTGTGGGCATGCAAAAATGCCCAGCCCCTACGCAGAAGAACTGAAGATCGGTAATTTCGATATTAGTTTGATAACCTCGATCAAGCTTAAATTGTCTCTTTGCAGCCGCGCGAGGGTGTATATCGGTTCCCAGGTTCCAGGGAATAGGGGCGATAAGTCGGGACAGACTCAGCCAAATACTGATCCTTTCTGCAGCGCACCCGCTCACCCCATCTCTCTCCTGATTGGTGATGAGCCGATGTACGGTATGTGCAACCGCTAGGGGAGCACGTCGTGAGGCAAGGCTTTCTTCCCTTCCCCTCTACAGGAACTAGATTGGTTCCGGCAGGCCCCAAGTAAGGTCAAACCCCATAACTTGCAAGCTGCCGGGGCAAAGACGGGACATATAATGCTGTTCACCCAAACCAACCCTTATGTTCGCCTGACTTTGCTTAGTAATACATACAAAACTTAGCGCTTTGGCATATTTTTTGGATGTGCTCACCTGCCCAAAAACACCCGACTTACCGTCCTCAACCAATACTCACTCAATCAAAAAGCGGAGTCTAGAAAATTAAAGGGGAGCCAATTCTGGGCAGTTCTACAGAGATTTTTTCTCAAAATAGTTGATTGTTGTTGGGGTATGTTCATTCTTGGTTTTGGTTATGGGAGGGTTGATTTCAGACGCCCGACGCTGTACTAATCACCTGTTCTTGGCCCAGAGGGTATCACGCAAGGAGATTGCTGAGTGAAGTTGATGCGACCCGGATCCCTTAGGGAAGTCATGGAGGGGGGGTGTCGCAAACTACACCAGAAGAATAACTCGTGAATACAATCAGTGGTGCACGATGTTTACTACAGATGCACACAGGGAACATAATGGAGCTCTCGGCAGTTGTTGTGCTGGTACTGTACGTGGATGGGTTTCCTACAAGATTTGGGCGGCGAGCGCTTGGGCAGAGTGGGCAAAGGCTCTTCTCACCTTTAATTTTTTTTATTTTTTCCTAGGGACTATTTCTCGGGGGGTTTACCTTATTTTTTGTTTTTATTTTATTTTATTTTTCCTGCTGGCATGGCCCCGCACAATCCCGTAAGGGCTATCGCCATCTCCAAAAGAAAAACTGGCGCGGGATGAAGTGATGTGAGATGTCAAATTGGGGGATTAAAATGGCTTCTTTCAGCTCAGGGAATCGGCTTCTCAGGTCATGTTTGGATCCACTAATAATCGCTCTTTCGAAAAGCGAGAGTTTCTACAATGTATCAAATGGAAAATACCGTGGGACTTCTTCGGCCCCACTCAGGAAAAAAGATAATTACTTTGACAATCGACATGCCATGTCATCTACATATGCAGCATGTGCGAAGAAAGAAGGTTCGTGGGGGTAGCCGAGGGTAATGTGGGACGAGTGGGGGAAAAGGAGGAAGCTCGAACGGAGGTGGGTACCTCTATTCTTGTGAAGTGCCTAGAGCTGCGTTAAGTTACGTTCGGAAATAAATATGCTGAAGGAGTGGATAGTATTATAGCGGAAAGTCATTTGCACTGAGTTCGGCTCTTTGAGATACTAGCTTCATCAAATCGAAGAGCAGCAGTAAGCTGGAGGAGAGGCGTACAGTGCGGTAACAAGGGACTATGATTTTTCCGTGAAATCTCCTTGAGATGGTTATGGAAGGATGGGGGACGGATAGTGCCCCCTCCTCCCTCCCTCGCATGTCATTTACTATCATCGACTGACGCCACCCCGTTGGACGGTGGGAGACACCAAGGTCTTGCATGTACCGAGCCGAGATGATAAGGAGCACGCGCCGTTTTAAGTTTGACCGATGATGGGTTGAATGAATAAAAAAATAGGAATAAAAAATAGACCCGAGGCGCTGACAGTTTGCCCGAGTTAACACATACCGGTATTGCACTACTTCACCTGGTGTCACTCCATTCCATTGATTAGGGCGATGGACATTACCGTTCCCCCCCCCAAGATATCAAGAAAGACAACAGGGCAGGGTACTCCTGCTCACCTGTACCATACCGGTATATTAGTGTACACTTGCACTGCATCACCACAGTGCAAGTGCGGCACCGCCACCAAGAGGAAGAGAGCGTTCACGGATGCGCACATTTGGCGCTACCGAGAGAATGGGGAGGAGGAATACTGGTACAGGACAGCACATCTTGTGTATGTGTCACTTCAACTGATGCACGGCTTACTCGGTAGAATTAATTAGTCTACAAGGGCAGGTGCGTGCATACAGACGACTAGTACCGTACAGTGTACAGCACGTATAACTACTTACAAAGGAAACAGAGACAGAGGGAAAGAGGGAGACAGAGGGCTTGCATACCGAATCGGCCTAGGCCACATCTAAACCACCAATCTTGAAACACCTATGATACCTGCGAAAGGTGAGAAAAAAGAAGAAAAAATACATAAACACAAACTGTGTTAAATTACCCTATCTTAACCCACACCCATCGGCTTTGGGGGAAAGGAAGGGACAAGATTGCTTCTAGAATGACTCGAAAGCTTCCGTCCGGTACTAGCATTGCACAGTTGGTAGAATCATATTACAAGTACGGCACATGACATAAATTAACACACCTTCGGCGGCAGCAGCAGATATTCAAGCAATATATTCATTCTCTATTTTTTCTATTACACAATCTCCTGGAAGAATGAATGAAACTTTGATTGAACTGGAATCCGGAAAGCGGAGAGGTAGGGAGGGAATTACAGGGTTTCAATACTGGCTGGCTGGCTGCCTTGCAGCAGCGGTAGCAGATGCTGTTTGCCTTGTCTGTCTGCACGAGCAGGTCGGTGTATACGCTCCGGTCCGAGAGGAAGGCACATGTGGGGCCTGCAGCCAAACTTTATGAGCAGGTGGGAATGTACAGTGCTATAAGAAAGTAAGGGTAAGGAAGTCAAAATTAAGAGCGGGAGAAAGAAAGGGCACGATACACAGAGAGAGAGGGGGCGAGAGAGAGGAAGTATAAAGGAAAAAAAGGGGGGCGGGGAATAAAAGAGATACCGGTAGAGGAGGAGAGAAGAGTCGGCATGAAGTCCGGTGCTGGAGGAGTTTTTCATTTCCCGCAGCAGCAAGCAAGTAGGTACTATACCATGGAACCTATCCGGAACCAACCCAACAGGAGGATCCCCACTGCGAAGTGAACCCCCCCTCTACAGATATCCGCTCTATCGATATATCTATCTATCGAGCCTATCAATCAAGCATCCCCATGTCTGGAGTCTATAACCATGGCATAATCCACCATAACACACAACCAAGGCACTGTACGATACTCACAGCATACATACATACCGGTACCTAGAGTGCTTACATCACATTGCGACACATTTGCAAAGACTTACTTTGTCATAACTCTCCCCATCTCTCAGACACGATCCCAAATCCAGAACTACCCATGGTACCCGCCTGCGGTACCTCCCCAACAAACCCTGGTTAACTGATCGCAGTTACAACACTCCGAATCCTTCCGATTTTCCCGCGAGCCGTTCGCCAGCCCCTCATACACGCCCTTTAATCTACAAGCACGGTGGAAGAAAAACGTTCCCGTATGGCGCGGGAGGATACAAGTACCGTGCCGGTACCTTCGGAGGGGATTCAAGACTGAAAGCCCCAGCTCGAGCGTGGGGGGGGGGTTGTTAGGTGCTGTGCGAGCCCAGCAAGAAGCGTAAGTGCCGCTCGGCTCAAACCGAGATGTCGGGACCTTGGGATTTTTTGCGCGGGACTGATTAGTCTCCACGGGAGTGGTGGGGGTGTATGTACTGTACAAGTAGTAAAGTAGGAGGTTTTTTTTTTTTCAATTTCGGGAGTGAGTGCGTATTGTCTGTAGTGCCACCTTATCACGAAGGCCGATTAATTTCCGAGAGAGTGTTATGTCCGATTCATGTATGGTCACTCGTGACAGGAGTTTTTCCTCTTCCGGCGATGCCGGAAGTGGCTGTTGCGACGCGTAGTACCACCCACGGAAGTGCGGAGTTTAACGTGGAATATAGTAGCAGAGCACGGAAGTTTTCCCAGCCGTCTGGTCCTCCCCCTCCCTCACTTCTAACCGACCAACAACTGTAACACTCCTCCACCATCAGCCGGGTTGGAAGGGGGGGGGAAATCCTGCTGAAAAATCACTGCCACGAGTGAGGCTGCATGACCATTGGTATTGTATTGTACGATACCGCCTCAATGGTCCCCGGTAGTGATCAGGCCAGGGGTCCACTTTCCTTTGGCAGAGGTGTGATAGAAAGGGAGTTCACTTCGCACTGGGATGCTGAATAGAGAGAGACATGGTGTGTACTTTCACGTGCACTTTGAGATAATAGGTAGAATTCACGGGATAGGGGTTTTTTTTTTTTTTTTTGTTAAATCCGTGGATTGATATTAAGTACATGGGCAGGACACGTCAAGTGTATATAATCTAAGTAACGACATAAAGATTCAAAGTGCTAAAAAGAAAGGAGGACATTCCAGTCCTATTCAATGTCCTCTGGTCCTATGATCCCTTGAATACGGGACCAATCCTGTGTGCTCTTCTCTGAAGTAAGAAAGGCATGATAGGTAGAGAGGGAAGCTGACACCACTAGTAGATATCAAAACAATGGAAGAAAAACTCCTAGTATCATACGATAGCAACAAATAACCTTGTCTTTCTCATCACCCTAGCACTGTCAGAGTAGGAGCTTTCGCAGGACGATATTGGTCACACCTTGGAAACAAGAAGGCCTTATCATCCTTGGAGTAGCATCATACACGCCCGGATATGTTATGATCTCCTGAAGGAGAGAGAGAGAATTTCCAACTCACATATACCGGTATGAGGTTTTGTCAATCGATTGGATATGGTATCATAGGTTTATGTCAACCGGTCATAGCGTTTGGTCTTTATTATTATTATTGCCATACTTTTCGTAACTATGTAGGTATCATAAGAATGCTACTAGTTACTTATAGAAGTGGGCTAATTATATTCCACAACCCCCTTCCCCACGGTATATTTTAACCCATTTAGGGGGGGGGGGGGAAAACAATTTTTTTTGTTTGGTTTTCCAGGGTAGGGCCTAATTTAAATAGTTTTTCCAACCCCCCCACCCTTGAACAGCGGTTTTAAAAAAAGTATTATAAGAAATTTTTATTTCATTTTAACCCCCCCCCCCCCACAACCACCCATCAAACTAGGAAGGTAAAAAAAAAAAAAAAAAAAAAGTAGGTGGTCTGGGAGGTTGAGTACCGGTAACTCTCAAAGAGGTTCTTGATCCGCCCTAACTTGGTCGCAATATATTACATTATCCTACCAAAGGCAATATACACGAACATGATACAAACATGAGCCAAAAAAAAAAAAAGAAAAA